CATGTTCGTGAATTTCTCGAACCTGAAATTTTCTTGTCTCTTCCGAAAGCTGCGGGGATGTTTGCACGAAAATTTCGCAAACGTTGCCCTGCCGCGAAACCATGGTCGATTCGTTTAACGCGGTACCTGGAGAAGCTTCATCTTTGCTACCGCCTACGTCTTCCCGTTTCTTTTTCTTTTTCTTCTTCTTCGTCGCTTTCGCGTCCTCGGTCTCTACCGGAGCCAGATCGTCGGTAAATTCTCCCTCGTCGGTGGTAGTCTTGGGAAACTCGGACTGCTCTTCCTCCCTAGAACTTTTCGCTCTCTGTTTCTTCTTTTTCCTTCTCTTCTTCTTCGTTTCGTTCCCATCGTCCGGTGTAGTAGCAGAGGCCATTGTTCTGTCGTCCGCACGGTATCCATCCTCGCCTTCCGAACTTTCGTCTTTAACGGTGAAATCGAGTTCGGTCGATTCGATCATTTCCGCTACGTCCGGTTGCGGTGTTTCGCTAACATGTTTGGAAGAGTCGGACAACGGGACGTTGATCTCTACCGAGTCACCGATGTTCGAAACTAACGAAATACTCGATCTCGTATCGATCGACTCGATCGGCGATTCAACCGCTGCTTCCGTAAGATGCCGACGCTCGTCTTCCTTTTCCGAACCGATGGCCGACTCGTCCGAAGCGACGACTTCTTTTTCTGATACGATGACAGACTTATCCGCCATTGCTATTCCTTGTTCCCATGGTGGCGATGTTTGAACGGTTCTGTCACAAATTATCGGGGTAATTTCCTTATCCTTATCCTCTGTAGGAATTTCGGGTAGCGGCGATGTCTGAGTGATTTTTTCGCCAATTATCGAGGTACTTTCTTTATCCGCTGGTAAACTGATGATAACATCTTTCTTTACCATGTGGTATGACGCGACCATTGGCGTTGGTTCCGCTTGACTCGATACGGACACCGTGGGTTCGATTTCTTCTCCCTCTTTCCGTACACCCAAAGATATTTCAACCTTATGCAGGAGTGGTTTGTACTCTGGTTTTAACGCCTCGTCAAAGTAGTCGTATTCCGATTCAGGTGCAAAGGAATCTTTAACCATTTGTTGTTTATCGTTAATTGGCTGAATACGCGGCTCGTCTTTCGTTTCTTTTCCAGCTAGCGTTTCGCTTCGGTCAGGTTCTTCTCCCGAGATGTCAACCTTCTTTCGTATCTCGATCGACGGCGACGGAGGGATAATATCCATCGGTGGTGTATCGTGCGCTTTGGTTGTTATCGTCGACGTCGTTTCGATTGCAGAACTTTCCTTTAATATAGGAACATTCGAGTTATCGACATCGGCATCTACGGTGCGGCTAGTATCATCGTGCTTTTCTAAATCTACCGTGCGACTTTCTATTTGTATATCAGGTGTTTTGATCTTTACGGGTGCATCGTCAAACTTACAAGTCGCTTTAGCGGTGGGTGTTAAGTAATCCGACGCAATGGAAACGATCGGAGATTTGTCCGATAACCGTTGCGTCTCCGTTTCGTCTACCTTGATTTCTTGGATAGGGCTCTGTAAAGCAGCGGATACTTGAGCATCGATAAACGTACGACTGTCCACCGGAAGTGGCTTCTCCTCGTTTACCTCGATCGTAAACTGCTCGGTCTCGTACTTGTCCGTGGTCCCAAGCAAAGGCTCGTTCTCTTCTCTTCTAACAAATTCGAATTGATCGACATCCAACGAACTTTGCATCGATGGCTCTCGAAGACTCTCCGAAAACTCTTTCTCGTAAACTTCCGCGTCCACGGATCCCTCTCGAGCGTCGCGAATCTGTTCCATTGGGATCTCTGTATCCGAAAATACCTCTTCGATGATCACGCTTTCCTTTTCGACCTCGGGAATAGTAGTCTTTCTTTTTGTTTCCAAGTACTCTGTAATTGGATGCATATCTTTAGCGAACGCGCCAAAAAATGGTCCTTGCATAGGAGTATCGTCAACGTCACCTTGACCCAGTCCTAAACTTTTCTCCGTCTTACTTTCCACCGTCACCTCTTCCTTTTCCTCTTCCACTTTCTCCGTCGTCGTCGTCGGTTGTTCGTCAACGTCGAATTGTCGTTGTTCTTCGCGTTTCACCACGTTGATACTTATATGTGGTATGTTCTTCTCGTCTATTTCCACTTGTTCGGGCTCTTCTATTATTTCCTCCGTAGTGGTCTCCTTACCATCGACGATCGTCACCTTACGAATGATTCTTCTGGTCTTCCTGACCACCCGTCTGGTCACTTGTTGCACCACCGCGTGAACGCTGGACGTTTTCGCCTGATATTCTCCGGCCTCCGTCAGAATTCCCTCCTCGAGCGGTTGCGGGCTGACGTCTCGGATGTTACCTTGCGTGACCGTATGCGTGTATCGAGGCACCGATTCGTATTCCTCAACGTTAACGTCCTCGTAAGGCGTCTTCGTTCCGGTCGCGATTTTCCCTCCGTAGATCTGTTTCGTGGTGGTCTCGATGGTTCCGTTCGGTTTCGCGGTTGTCACCGTGATCTGCTGATCCCTCATGGTGGCCTCTGAAAAGGCCTGCACCACGGACGGAGCGTCTCCGATCGCCGTCGACATCGAGGACAAGTGTTGTTGAGATGTATGCCTACTCGTTACCGTGGTACGTCTCAATTTTCTCACGATGATTCTCTTCGAACCGTCTTCGTCCACTACGATCTCGGTGGTGACGTCGTCCGGTTCGACCAAAACCGTCTCGAACGATTGGGGAGCCGCGTGAACGATGTTCAACTCGCTGGTAGTATTCTCGGTGTTCTTAAGATCCTGATATCGCATGTCGACCACGATATCTTCCGGCATCGTGTCCTGATGTTCCCGATCGATTTCCTGGCTGAAAGCGGTCGGTAGATTTTTCGTGGCTATCTCGATCACGTCGTGGTCGCCGTCCGTGCTCTTTACGATCTTTATAGTTTCCTGATTTTGAGGGGTCTCGTCTGGGTACGACGTGTCTACGGTTTGCGTGGTCAGCGAATGACACACCGCGGCAGCTGGCTCCGGGATACGATTCGTAGATGTTTGCTTGGTGAGTTGACGCGGTTTCTCGAAGTTCTCGTTCGCTAGCAAACTCTGGCCCGTTTGCAGAGACACGTCAGCCAGAGATGGCATGCTACTCTCGAGAGACGATCGAATGGAGGGTGCTTGATCTAGGGTAGCGTCGTCGGGCTCCGACGCCGACGCCGACGCCGACGCTGACGCCGACGTGTCGTCGGCACGCGTTTCTTCGTCGCGAGCATCCTGAAAAATCGAAAACGATCTAGCTAAAGGTATCCGCGTGACGTTTGAACAGGTTGTTTCCGTGGTTCCTTGCATGGAATTGCGAGTCCTCGACTTTCCAAATTTCACATTTTAACGTGGTACGAACCCAATGATTTTTTTTTTTATAGGCGGTAGAAATTAATTATTGCTAATTGGAAGCTGTGCGATTGAAATTACAAGCTAGCGATTTGTTAAGGGGTTGGTCGCAGTCAGGAACATGAAAACGTACACTTTCTCGAGTGTTTTTTTTTTTGTAAGGTATTAAATAATAATTCTTATGAATGAAATGTAAATATATTACAAAGTATGTCTTGAAGAACTATAAACAAATTTTTGTTTTGAAAAAAGGTTAATTCATTTCGTCGTAACAGGCGATGGCATGGGTTGGCACTTGGTTTGCAGTGAGCAAGATTTCTTCGAACTGGTGCACCTGGAAACAAAACTAAACGTAGATTTAGAAAATATATTAGAATAACGAGTCTCAAATCGAAGGATTTTTTATTTTCTTATATACTTTTCTTTTTATTTTCTATTTAATCGCTTAATTTTATAATGAAAATTGAACTTCAACTTCAAATGTACGTCACTTTGTTTTAAATTAATTTTTCCAAAATCCTTCGATCGAGGACTCGTTAGACTAATGTATTCTCCAAATCTACCTTTATGTTTGTTTTCAGGTATACCAGTTTGGAGAAATGTTGCTCGCCGCAAACAAAATGGCCACCTACGTCATCGCCTGTTACGACCAAATGAATTAACCTTTTTTTAAAACAAAAATTTGTTTATAGTTCTTTAAGATATATTTTGTCAAATATTTAACTTTCATCGATAAAAATTATTATTTAATACCTTAAAAAAAAAAAAAAATAGTCAAGAAAGTGTCCGTTTTCATTTTCCTGACTGCAACTAATCCCTTAATGACGAATTTGGTACGGAATTACGATGAATTCGGTTGCGCTTCAATGATCGAAAGCTTCAATGATCGGTCTTATGTAACGTGTCAGACATTGGTGACGAAGACAACAGCGGTGCCCCCTAAAGTAGTAAAATCCATCGAATGTTTGTTAGCGACACCGTTGCGTTAATCACTTGTTTGTTACGTGAAAGGCGATGTTACGTGATTCGGCTCGAGTTTGAATATTTTAATCGGCACGCTCGCACCTGCATGGCGTCGATGGAAACGGAGACGAGAGTTATTCGGTAAGTAGAATCTCCCTCGAGAGCAAGAACGGGAGTGTCCGCGGAGAAGAACACTCGGCGTAACACTGTTTTATTTTTAGCTTTCAATGAACGCTACGCCCGATTTCATTTCAATGCGTCTATTTCGAGCACGCCTGTCGTCTATAATACGCCTGCTGTATGTAAAACTTATAGAAAATACAAGTCAGCGCGATCTATCGTAGACAGATGTTTCGCGTCAGCTCGCATGAGTAACGCAATAATATTCACCGATTCGAAATACACGTACGAAAGAAATTAATAAAAATTGAAAGAAACGCTGGATTTCTAGAATTTTTACTAACGTTTCAAACGTTTGCGATTGGACCGCGTTAACGATCTTTTCGTATCGACGCCGTTATTATCAATTTGAAATCGTCTATGCTCGTATACGAGTACGTACGTGTACTCTAGGGTAAGATTCCTCTCGTTGCCATATCGAGTCGCGATACATGTACGGCATATGCTACGTTCGGTGATATCGGGAATAAATAAAAGGGGGAGGTGAGGATTAATGAGAATACTTTAATTGCATGAAAAAATTACAGTAACAATGTATTAACATTCCTTAAACAAATGCTGTGACCTATATGTATATATACATATATTACATCCGTTACCTTAAGCTAAAGGAACATAAAGTGCATTGTAAATAATACATGATGGGATGCTAGCAAATAAAAGAAAAATAAACAAACGGCGACAGTGGTGAAGGTAATGATTGCGGTATTGCATGATGAGAAGCCTGTGAAAATTAACGGGACGATGGTGCTGCGATGAGTGATTCCCCGAATACCCATAACCATATACGTGCAAAACGAAATACAGTTGTAACGAATATATCGAAATTACTACCTCGAAGCAGCGAAAGTAAAAGAATATTACATGCTTCCCCGTTTAACGATTACCTTGCTCCGTCTTATCATTATTCAAGACATAAGCAGTATATATATATACATATATATATATCGTATATATGTATATTATTTCTACATATACATACTGTGCACGTTTACGTCATTCTTTGGCATCCCTTGCATCAGCAAGAGATCGAATAACATTTTCCCCTTCTTCGAAACGATTACACGGATAGACTAGACGATTAGAACGACTAGAAAATTGAATCATAAGTTTCCCATTTTTTTCAACGATTAAAAGATTCTTCCGATGAAATTGTACTTGCCTATTACTAATTTGTTTTTTGCAGAATTTTTCAGTATCATTACGTTCGTTTCTCTTTCTAATCGTCGCGTACTTCACGAGATTGTTGCGCGAAGGTCGGCAAGGTTTGCGAAAGCCCCCGAGCATTGGAAAACGTTGGATACCTGCTGTCTTTGCTGCAGACGAGACATCACCTCCAACAACGCGTTTTTCAGGACCTTTGCCAGAGTGCTGATTTCTGGCAACGATTCGAGCTCCGACACACGCTGCGCGTGACTGCTAAGCTCGTCCTGCAAAGCCTGTTCGTACAGACACACACACAGACGTAAAAACATCGCCGTGATTCCGATTAAAAATAAATCGGGTCCGCCGACATACATTATACACATACATATTCGAAAACCAAACGTTACTCGAACAACGTTGATATTTCCGATGCGTTATCGCAGTTATCGAATGTCTAATATAAATATTTTTTACGTATATTCCAAGTACATACTTTGAACAATATTTTCGTCAAATTCTAGAAAAAAAAAATCCGTTGTTCCGTATGAAAAATATAACATAGATATTCTTGACCGTGAGATGGAACTGATTTCCTTGATTTTAACGATCCCGATCGAATGGAACAAGAATTGTTATATACCGTGTAAATTTACACTAAAAAGGGGGAACTCGAGGTCTAAACGAATCTCTCAAAGAAGAATCGGTATCTTTTTCTATCGTTAATCGTCAACACACCTTGTTCGTGGCAATCGGTTGTTGCTCCCTTATGCTTGCCACGATGTTCTTCAACCAAGCGTCCGTTTCGTCTAAAAATTGTTTGTAAGCATGGATATCATGACCGCGTTGCTCTTGGTGACCGCGCGCACCCTCGAGAGTGATTCGTCCTTGTTCTGCTTGCGCCAACAGGGTGTCGATGCGCGCCCGAACTTCCGCCAGATTGCTTACAAGTCTCTGGGACTCCGCGTCGGCTGGAATTTTCTGTAACTCTTCCTCCAACCGGCGAGTCTCTTGCTCGTAAGAGCGAAGCTCTGTCAGAAGCACCTGAAATTTAAACGATATTTAAAAGGTGTACAGCATGCATTCTGAAATTGTATCATTGACAACTTTCGTCGAAAACTAATTTTAAATATCGCAAACTTTAATGCCAAGTTCCATGGAGCGGGTTTCGTGTCGAAATTTGTATACGTTTATTGCGCCGTCGATTATCTCACCGTGATCGCGGAAAGCATAGAATCTATGTTGTCTCGTGGCAAGAAGGTTCCCTTCAAGTTCGAGAGACTCAGCTGTAAAACCATCAGACGTTCTTGTATGATATCCTGCAACACAGTGATCGGTTAGCGAAACACGTCGACGATGCATCGAACGATGGATCAGAAAATATGCCGTGCGCATCACGAACTTCAACTCAATTTCGGTCTGTTAATAAATGGAATAGCTTTGGGGGTATCTCGCGTTAAATCGTAAATATCTAGCAAAATCGCAATACAGGGATAGGTATGCGTAACACATAAACACGTCAAATTACTTTGTTCTCCGTACGGCTTGCGAGTTGGGTCAGAAACGCTACCGTCATGCAGGTTCGGTAATACACAGGGATTTCGAATATATCAACTTTTCGTTTACGAAAGTGTCGTTCTTAAAGTGTATCCAACCATGGGACGTAAAATTTCGTTTATTCTACCGGATGTTGTATAGAATCGAGTAAATTTGGATCGTATAAATTACGAGGTAATTATTTTTCATTTGACGCTTACGAAATATTGCTCGGATAGAATTAGGGAAGAAATTGTACTCGATACGATATTTCCGCGATAAGCATCCTCAACGAGAAGTCTCGAGCAGTTGGAATATCGATTAAAAAAAAAGAAGAAAACAACAGAAAAAAAAAAGTCATCCGGCTTGAAAATGTTCGTGTCACCGAACCGAACCGCAACGCATCGCAACGCAAACTGAAAATCAAGTAACGTTAGGCTTATGCATGTCTAAACACTACCATGCAGGGCAAAAGAGAAAAAGAGAATCGTCCGTAGAAGACGATGAAGCGATAGCGATACGTATGATAGCGTAGCGATAACTATTAACGCTATTAACGCTGGCTAGCAACGTGAAAAGGCAAAGAGTCGGCGAGTAGAAGAGAGATACGCTCCAAGTAAAGAGATCGAGACAAGTGAAACGATCAGCACAAGATATATAGAAAATTGATAGAAAACGAGGGCACAAGAAAACAGTACAAAACACTATATATAGGTGTATGCCAAGTACACACGCACACGCACACGCGCACGCGCACACACACGCACACGGTTCGCAAACGCACGCGGCACAATCGAACGGTCGCGTGCACTCTCGGTTGCACGTTTCACGGACCATTCTAGTCTGATTATATTACAGAGAAAATACGAGAGATTTTTTGGAAAATGCTAGACTAGGATACCCCGTTGAATCGACGATGGGTGCGTGCGATCGTCGTAGCCGCGTACGTGCGCGTACACACAATTCTCCGCAACAGAGCTGGCCAGTGAATTCGTTCAAGCTCGACTGCGTAAAAATCGAGCAGCTGGTTGTGATATGAACCGCACCTTGATCCCTCGTATCCTTTTTTCAGCCTCATCTTCAGCTACCCCCGTCTTTTTCTCCGTCTCGACAACATTTGGAGTCCGCCGCTGCATCGATCCTCTTTCTCTACCTAAATGTTCTTTGGGATCTGGACAGTGGCAGGAAATGTTTGGCGGTGTTGGGAACGAATCGCGCGGATCGGAACAAACCAAGCCAACCAACTGTTCGCGAAACGAATACTCGAGTGGCGAACAGTTGCTATCACGATCGAAATTGGAAAATCGCTCGCTCGAAGCGGATTCGAGGACCGACGACGATTCGTTGCGTTTGATATCGAATTGTTTCTCGTCCTCGACAATTGCGCGGATAAAGAATTCCTGGGAAGGAGATTTGTTGTCGGAGGTAGAAGTGGGATCCGAGACCGTTCCCTGTTCGTTTTCGCTCGACAAGTAAGTACTGTAATCGCTCCAACTACCTATGCCTCCGGGAAGGTCAGCGATCAGACGTTCCGTCTGAGGTCCACCCATGAACAACGAGTTAAAAGGACCACCGTTTCCTTCGCGATTCTTTAAACTACCGTCGCGATCCCCGTCGAAGTCGTCTGGGTCATTCGAATCGCGTTTAATATCGCGACCGGTATTTCCTTTCGTGTAATTGGCCAAGTTCTCGAATAGGTAGCGTTCGGCCTCGTGGTAAGGATGCTTTTCCGGCCAGAAACCGCTATCCAGGGAGAGGAATTTCGATCTGCTCAGTTCCGATAGGGTCTTTAAGATCAGAGGGGTTTCGGCCGGTTTCTTTTTCTCGGGACTCAAAACCAAGATCTCGTCCGCTATGTAGAATTGTACTTTTGGCTTTGCTGGCTCGATTACGATATCGGCGGTCTCTATTTCGGGCTCGGTCGACATGCACTTCTCGAATTCTTCCTCTGTTTGCAGCTGGCTCTCGATCGAGTCTAATACCACAGGTAGCTCCACGATTTCTTCCTCTAATAAATTTATCGATTTCCTCGTTTCGGAATCTTCGTCCGTTTTACTATCGATCATAGTTTCGTCATCTGTTATCACTCGTGGTTGAGTTTCTTTAATTATAATATCTTTCGCGTTTAGCGTTCCCTCGTCTATATTTTCCACGATTCTTTTTACAAATTCGGTTCTCTCTTCAGTTCTGATATCACGTGATGTCGTTTCACTTTCGTCGATTACGTCGAAAGCTTTATCCGTTGTCGTTTCTCCCATTGTTTCCGTAATCGATCCTTTAATTTCCGGTACGTTAGCTTCGCGATCCTTACTTATTTCTTCCTTGCTTTTTCTCTCACATTTTTCACTCACAGTTCCAACATCGTTAGCAGGTGTTTTTTCTTCTTCGATTACTTTTTCTTCCGTAATCGATAGTTTCTCTACGTTCTCTCGAACGTCGATATCTTTCATTTCTTTATCGATTACAGGTTTCTGTTCCTCTCGACATTCCAATGTTTGAGCTTCTATCTTTTCCTCGGCGATTCCTTTACCTTTCTCACGGCCAATCGTTTCTTTCGAAACCCCTTGGACTAACGCGGTAGAAGAATCTGTTCTGAAAGTCTTCATGTCTTCATTTTTTGCAAAGACAGATTCCTCAGCGACAACTGCAGGCGCAGGTGGAGACTTTGGAGTCTCTTGTTCTTCGCGTTTAGCATTCTTCGCTTGTTTACTCTTACGTTTCGATTTCTCTTTCGCAACACGTGCATCTTTTTCCCGTTCTATGGGTTGCTCTACCGTATCTTTCGTTGCTTTCGTTACTTCTTTAACCGACTTTGACGCTTTTACGTTTGCTTCGGGAACAGAACTTCCTTGACTTTGATCAGAATTTATCATTTCTTTCACTTCTTCTTTAACTTCCGTACTTTTTGATTCTTCCGCTTTCTGATCCATCGATGTATTTTTCTTCTCTTTCCCAACACCTGTATCTTTTTCCTGTTCTATGGGTTGCTCTACCGTATCTTTCGTTGCTTTCGTTACTTCTTTAACCGACTTTGACGCTGTTACGTTTGCTTCGGGAACAGAACTTTCTTGACTTTGATCAGAATTTATCATTTCTTTCACTTCTTCTTTAACTTCCGTACTTTTTGATTCTTTCGCTTTCTGATCCATCGATGTATCTTTTTTCTCTTTAGCGGATTCCGCGTTTTCCGTTGACATTGTTTCAACGACGCTCGCTCCTTTCGTCTGTTCTTTGTTTTCACTTTCCTCTACAGGTTGTTCTTTACCAGATTTTCCTTTCTTCGATCTCTTGCTCTTTTTAGGAGCACTTTTAAGTGGTTGCTCTCTTGTCTCCGATTTCGGTTGTTCCGAAGTTTTTACCTTATTTTGAACCGCTACCTCCGAATCTTCAGATTTGGCCGTTGGTTGCGTTTCCTCGGCTTCCTTTGATTTAATTTTCTCTTCGGTTTGGTGTGTTTTCGAAACGGGAGTTTCTATATATTTTTTAGTTCCTTGGCTTGTATCGGTGTTGTCAGTTTTCGATTTTCCTTTATTCTTGGATTGTTTCGTGGATGGCGAGGACGGCGTTTCGTTTCGCCTGGCGCTTCGAGATCTCGATCTAGATCGTCTGGATCGTAGCTCTCGTCGATTTACAAACTCCATGAATCCTTGATCGTCGACTTGAACGACATTCTCGATCGGCACTGGTTCCGGAGCTTCTTCCACGTGAATCTGTACTTGAGGAAGAGAACGTAGTTGAGAATTTTGTTCCTTTTTGATAGCGGTCTGTTCGATGTTCGACGTTACAGAAGATTCCGTTTCTCCGACGTGTTTACCAACTATGGAGGCCCACGAATCTTTTTCTTTTCGAAAGGTTTCGCTGGCCGCTTTGTTTAGAGAGGAAGTAATCGAATCGATTTCCTCTCTAGCCTCTTTTTCGATTTCTTCTAAACACGAAGATGACTCTACGCAAACACTGTCCGTCTCGACAGCTAGTTCGATAGTTTCTACTTTTAGCAGAGGTTCCTCGGTTTCGGGCATTTTATGAAAGTTTTTATCGAGTTCAAGGGGTACAGGTCCGATCGGTATCGTATCTTCGATAGCTTGCAGAGATGTCTCGGGATCGAAAGCTGTTATTTGAGCGTACGATTTATTATTCTCGTTGCATTCATTGGTAGCTCCCTCCGACAAATGTTCGATCTTTTCGGTAATGATTTTCACTTGCTTCTTCTCGGATTTACTCTCGATGCAAGATGTTTTTATTTCGGAACCACTTTTTTCTACCTTTAAATCTTTTTTCTTTTGACGTTTCGTTGGTTTTTGTTTCGTTGACGGACTTTGAGACTGGTCCAACGTACTTTTTTCTATCCGCTCTATTATTTTCTCGTCTCTCGGCGTCTCATTTGGCGACTCTCGAATCGCATCGATTACCGTCACACCTTGTACATTTTCTGTTGAAATGCTAGCAATCGTTTCGGTTGCCTCTTTCGCGTCAACAACGAATGCCGGTGATTGGACGTCTTCTTCAGGAATATCCTTCATCTCCGTTTCATTTTTCTCGATCCTGTTCTTCACTGCGGATACCTTGGTTACAGTTTCTCGTTCAACGTTTACTTCCGACATCTGTTCGTTTAAACCAGCAAGTTCAAACGACATCGGAGCTGCGACCTCGTTTCCTTTTTTCGATTTTCCGTCGCGTTTCTTCTTCGATAGAGGAGAACCAGCTTCCATTTTATCCGTTTGTTTTGTCGTTTCCTTGTCTACTGCGGTAGCTTTGTCTTTAGCTGCGTGTTTTCGTTTTTTCGATTTAGTTGAAGTTTTCGTATCTTCTTTCGGCGGACTATCTTCTTTAGTCTCCGAGTCCACAATTTTACCTTTTTCCTCTTCGGTTACAATACTTTCCGATATCTTACCGTCTAACAACGTTTCCGTTGTTGATTTTCCTTCATTTACGACAGCAGATCTTTCGAGGTCAAACTTTATAGGCTCTTCCAAATTCATTTCCTCCTCTTTCATTTCGCTATCTTTACTTTCGCTCACTCGACGAATCGTCTTCTTCTCGTCTTCTTTGGAAACAATCGTATCAACGGGTTTCTCTGCTGCGATTCTCTGTTCCGTTACACTTTGACTCGCCTCTTTGATCGGCTTTTCTTTCATGATACCTTCTTCTTCAGATGTACCAGATATTTTTTCTTTATTAGAAACCGTTTCATCGACAAGTTTCTCCTCTGGAACTTTTTCTTCCGTTAAAATCTGTATACCATGCTCTATTTTAGAAGTGATTTTTTCGGTTTCAACGTTTGTCCTCTCGGGCTGCGTTTCGACAGCTACCGTATCGGTAACTTTCATTTCTTCAGATCCAGTTTTCTCTTCTTCGTTTACCACGTTACTTGGAAACTCACCGGCAGTCGCATCTTCTCCTATCGCGATATTCAAATCTCGGCCTGTTTTATTGTCCGTGATCTTTTCCGGCGATTCCTTCTTTCCGATATTTTTCCTGGCAATGTCGCCGATCTCTTCGTCGTCAATAATTTCTGACGATTTCCGAGCTGCTTCGGTTACATCGATCACTCCGTCACTTTTATCCGGAGTTTCGGATTCCGTACGTTGTTTCTCTTCTTGGTGCATTTGCACAGTTTTCTCTTCGACCGGGACATCGCATTTCTCAGCTTCTTCCGAAAAAGCAGAGGTCGCAAGCTTTCTTTCTTCGATCAGTTTAGACTTCACCCATTCGGATTCTAACTCGCAGAACATACTAACTGGATATTTCGTTGATTCGGCGACAAGCGCATGCTTTCTACGGTCTGCTTCGGATAGCTTCGACTCCTCTTCGATTTCCTTTTCTCGATCAGGCCTTTTCATGATCGACTCTTGAACGATTTTCTCGATACTCGTTGATATCTGAGATGTAGAAGCAGGTAGGTTTTCTTGTACCAACTCAACCACTTTGAAGCGCCGATGGAAATCGCTTTCCGCTTCGACGTAAGAATGGTAATTCAACCAATACGGTTTCACCAAGTCCTCGTAATAGTACGTAGTCGTGTCTTTTTCTTCATGTTTCGAATCGGCAACATTTTTTGTAGAAGCTCTCGGCTCGTTTCCCACGTTAAACGTATCTTCTTCTTCTTTTCGAACGAAGCCTTTAACAACTGGAGACGACGCGACCATAATTGTGTCCACGTTTTTACCGTTTTCCTGGCTTCCTTCCACGATGAAATTTTCACCTGCCGATATCGACGTAACCGTCTCTTTTGACTCTACGATATCGTCGGATCTTTCAGCCTGTGTCGTTACCTCGATATCATCCTCCTTCCGATCGGCAACTATAATATCTTCTTTAAAAAGTTTCCTACCATCCACTACCTTAACATTAATTTCGCTCGACTTCAAATCCGGCTGTTGTTCCTTTGCTACGCCATCCAACTCCCGTTTATCTTTCGAACTCTCTAGCGATTTAGGCGACAAGGGTGTCCCAGAACGATCTCTCCTCCTATCCTGAACGCTACCAAACAGAACCGGTTGATCGTCGTCGACGAGACTGTCTATATAGACCGCGTAATCGGAATGGAATTTCTCCGAGTAGTCTGCTAACGCGTCTAACGACCCTTTCGGGGGGATACCAACGGCTGAATCATCCGATATCCTAGCATATCTGGTGGTTAGACTAGCTTCTACTGTTTCAGGACGTAGGGTAATTAGTTCGGTCGGTTTGGAGCCTACGATCTTGGGTAAGGGGATGCTTTCTAAGATCTCTACGGATTTAACGGATTTCACATTGGGCGGTTTCACTTCGACGGAGCCGGGAATGCTGGTGGTAGTTGTCACGGTGGTCACCATCTTTTCGATGATCAACGCTTTGCCTGTTGTCGTCATAGACGATTCTTTCGTCGACGTCGGTGTCGAGGAATTCAAGTCTGAAATATTCAACCCAGCGATTTCTTCTTTTTTCGGTATCTCTTCACTGGTTACATTCGATGCCGACTCGTTAGACTTATTGTTAGCAGTGCGGGGTCTTTTTGATTTTTTCTTAATAGAGTCGTTTTTAGTCTCCGTTGACGGATTCTTATTCTTATCTTCCGACACCGGAAGTTTTCTAGTTTGTTCTTCATTCTCGTTAACAGCGAATTCGTCCGTGTTAGTAGGAATCTTTTCCGTGTCGATTCCAGTTTCGGAAACTTTGGTTACAATTATCGCGTTACAGTTTTCGTTTAGTTCCGTTAACGAAACGTCAGGTTTATCGGTCGCGAGCGGCGATGACGGCGCAGACGAATCTGTGACTTTCTTCTCGAGTTTCTTCTTCTTTTTCTTCTCCGGCTTTTGCGCGATGGAAGACTGAGAGGTTTTAGATTCTTCTTTAGATTCAACCACGTAAGGCGACGAAATATTTTCGGTTACAATTTTCTCCTTTGACTTGAACTTACTCGGTTTCTTCTTTTTGTCGGATGTCCCTTCAGGGATCCGATCCTTTTGCTCGGAATCTTGATATTCGACAGGATCTTCCTCGCTTTCTTTCCCGCTAACTTTATTTTTGCTATTGGTTTCTGCATTGGATGGCGATTTGAAGCCGGACAAACTAATTTCTTTCTCGGTACTTTCACGTATATACTCTGTTATATTTTCCGTCGGTTTTACGTCAGGAACAGTTTCTCCGGGTGTCTCTTTTGACTTTACTTGGACATCAATTTTGTTCGATACATCGGCGATATTTCCGTTAGTCCTTTCTTTGTTTCGGATCGCTTCGCGTTCATTTTTGAGTTTGCCTTTGGAAACGATCGAGCGATCGTTTTGATCTACGGGATCCCCGGTACTTGCTTCGTCCGTAACTTTCGCCCTCGCCGTATCTGTGGCTTCGGAAAGATCGTTTCGCGAAGAGACCCGGCCGTCGTTCGATTCCTTCTTACCGGTACTAGTACCGCGAGTCGGCGTTTCCGATTTTACAGGCTCGTCGAGTTTCTCGATATCAACAATTTCGTTTGTTTTTATCGCCGATTCTATCGCGCACTCCAAAGCGCCGATCACAGATTTCTCTTTTTCCTTTTCCTTTTCGTCGACGTCCATTTTCGTTTCTATTTTCAGCTTCGCTTCATTCGTTTCTATCGGTTCACCATCCTCTTTCGTTGTTTCTAATTTTACTTTAGATTCCTCCGTAGATCGAACTACCGTCACCTCACCGATATCTTCTTGCTGACTTGATTTTTTCGACGACTGTATCGCCTTCGAGTCGTCTTGTTCCGTTACTCGTTGTTTCATCTTTTTACACTTCCCTTTGACATTTTCTTTAGACTTTGTCGGCTCGGTGGTTTTAGCATCGACAATCTTCCCTTTAGATCGAGGTTTATCCTTTGCTTCGAGTTTTGGTTCGAACTCTGTGGCTTCTTTGGGCGACTCGGTTTCTCGTTTCTTCGCTTTGTTATCGTTTTCTTTCGGAATTTCTAGCTTTGTCGCATCATCGATAGACGCCGATTTCTTTGTCTCTTCGGTTTCTGTTGGCTTTACGGTATCTTTGCTAGATTTCTCCTTTGCCGCGTTCCGTTGCTCCTTACCTTTCTGTTTCTTCTTCGAGCCGAATTCTTTCGGACACTTTTCCTCGTTCGTATCGAGCTTCTCCGATTGCGTTTCACTCGTCGAACCTACGTTTCTTTCAAACTTCTTCGAGTCGATCTTCTCGTGTTCGATGTTCAATTCCGTTTCCTTTACGTCAATTTTATCGACATCCTTGTCACTTTTCTTACATAAATCACTGTCGTCTTTCTTTTCTCTGGCATCGTCCTCCGATTTAACGTGTTCTTTCACGCTGGAACGAGACTCCGGAGTTTCCACGAGTGACGAAGTATCTTTAGCCTTCGTTTCCGCTTTGGGTTTGCTCTGTTTCTGCTTCTCGCTGGACTTTCGCTCGTTCTTCTTCTCGTTTTCCTCTTTAGCTTTCTCCGGGGTTGCGCGAGCAACGTCTTTCGAATTGGTCTGTTCCCTCGACTTGTCCCTGTGATTTTTCGACTTTTGCTTCTCCATATCCTCGATCTCCTTCAGAGCTTTCTCGATCTCGTCTTCCAACGGCTTGTCCGTTTTCTTTTTCTTAGTTTTCCGTTTTCTCTCCTGCGATCCATTTCCCTGCGGAGCGTCCGCTGTCTTCTCCTGTCGAGAGTCGGTCTGTTTATCCTTCGGAACGTCAGCTTTGGTTTCTTTTCGAGTCTCGGTAATGTCCTTACTCTTAGAATTAGCAGAAGTAGTCGATTTCACCGTGGAAATTTCCTTCTTCGTCTCGTCCACTTTCGACTGGAGAAGGCTGGCCTTCTCCTTTCGAGGCTTTTCTTTCGGCTGTTCGACTTCTTTGCGAGCTTTCTTCTCCGCGGGCTTCGATTTTTGCGTTTCTTGTTGAGTCTTTCTCGTCTCTCGTTTTCTCGCCGTGTCCCACGTAGCTTCTTCCTGCTTGATCTCCTGTTTAGCCTCGGAGGATTCTCGCGTTCGCGTTGCCTCTCGCGACGTCAACGGTGCCGTCTCGCGTGCCGAGAATGTTGTCGACTTGGACGGCGACCCGGCACGCTCCTTTGACTGTTTCAACGTCGGCGTCGCCGTCGGTTCGGTCGCGCTCGAATAAACCGAGGAAGAACTGGTCGTCGAGGTTGCGCGAGGATTCAGACCCTGTGATAATATTTGCGCGTACGAGAACGTTTTACTCTCGGCGTGTAGTTTTGGCGTGGTCGTAGATGGTTCGGATGTGGAAGCAGGTTGCGGTAGTTCCGAGTCGACGGGTTTCTCGAGTGGCGCGACCTGGTCCGGTTGAACGACAGGTTGAACGTTCTCGGTAGCCGACACGTGACTAGAAACACGTTTATTTTCGGCGTGCTGCATCGCAACCGAGGGGTTGCTCGCGTGATTATTCAACTCCGGATGATGATGCTGTCTTTGTGATTGTTTCTGTATTTGGTTTTGCCGATAAACCTCCGTTTCTGGAAGGTAAGCGGGCTGTCCAACGTACTGCTCCGAAGGGAAAGCTATCCGTCCGTCGTAAGAAGGTAGAGCTATCCGTTGAGACGGTGCGGTCGGCACGTAGACGTAAGAATTCACCGGATACGCGATCTGGGAGCCGATAAAACCCACTAGCTCTGGCATCGGTGGATGAATGTAATTGTAAACCTCGGGAATTTGTCGTGGTCCTGCCACGTTCTCGTAACTTTGAGCGTTCAAGGCGTCGTAATCTTCCATGGGCTCGTCGGCCCACCTGGTTTCCGTCTCTGGAGTCTCTTCGTTAGGTTTCACGGTGCCGGCCGACAAAATGTCGGGTTCTCGTCGGTAATTTTCTATCGTCGGCCGTTGTCTCGATTGCTCCGCGGGAATTTCTTCAACTTCCGCGTCCTCTTTTTTTTGCTCTTCTTCTGTTTCTTCTTCTACTACTACTTCCGCTTCTTCTTCTTCTTCCTCTTTCTCCTTCTCCGTCACCACCTTTCGTTCTTCCTCGTTCTCCTCCTCCTTTTTCTTCTCTTCGAACCGGACTCGCGATACACCGAGCTCGACTTTCTCCATTTCCGTGTAGGACGCATCGATCGCAGCGTGCTTGTTAACCGAATTGGCGTTTTTGGTCGCCTCGACCGAAGGGCTTCGCGACGCGTTTCCTTGGCCGCGAAGAATATCGGCGTACGAAGCAAAACCAGGCATCCAGATGGGACTGGCCGACCGTCCTCGCCTTTCTTCTCGGAGCGCCAAGGTGTGCTTCAAAGCCATCGGCTCCTTGTTTCGTTCGGTGAACCGAGGGCTCTCCGGAACGTTCGTCTTATCCGCAGAGGATGCATTCTTGACGAGTCGATCGGCCGACTCCGACGGATCTTTCCTGGCAGAAGCCGCTCTTCTCGAATTAGGTCTGTGTTTAGGCGTAGCGTCGAGCATATCCAGCTTGGATACGCGTCGAGTTTGCGCCCTCGGTTCGGGCTCCTTTCGCGCACTCGTGGCCTCGTTCTTCGTCTGTTCCTCCTCGATGGTTGCCTCCGGTCTCGCGACTCGAGTTGCGGAGGTGTCGCGTGCTCGCTGGCCGATCGGCTCCCGAACAAACGGTTTCACCGGTTGAACAGCGAGCGGCGGCGACGACGACGACGAGGCAGCCTCGTCCCGCGAGTTTCCGAACGGGCTAGAATCCCTCGAGCTTGGACTGGTACGACCGGCCGTGATGTCCGCGTACGAGATCTGACCGATCGGCTTGCATTCGTTGCTCTGTACATAGTACGGGTCCACGGCGTAAATCTGATCCAGCAGTGTCTTCGCGCGCTGCCTCCAATCGTCCATCCTTTGCTGCAGGCTCTGCTTAATCCGCCACGGAGGAACAGCCAAGGCACAACAATGGAATACACATACGTGAATTTTCTGGGAGTCTCTTTCATTGTTTGTTTAGGTTTTCTGATTCGGGGTTGGTGTGACGTGAATGCTTTGGGGGCGTGGTTCGGATAAAATGTTAACGAGGACCAAGGTAGTATGGCGAGGGTACAAATTAATCTTTAGAGTTTTAGTATGCGTGTATGCTAGATTAACGTTATGATCAGCGATGGCGTGACTCGCGAAGAAAAGAACCGAACACCGTTACCATTTTGCTTATTTTTTTTTCTTCTCTTTGCTCATTCGTATTTTCGACAAAGATGATTCTTTATTCTTCCTTAACTTTTAAATGATACAATTTAATACGTGTGTGTGTGTGTGTGTGTGTGTGTGTGTGTGTGTGTGTGTGTGTG